CGCTGCCCCCTGGGAATAAAACGCCTCCTCCCTGACGGGTTGCACTTTTTTAGTTTCTTTCTTTAAATATCTAGATTCTGATAAAGTAAATTGAAGTTTACTAGAAATACTATTGGCGAACCTCGCAGTCTTTTAAAGACGATAGAAAAAAACAAAACACCCCCCAAAAAAACAGATTCCCCCGGGATTTGCGTTCGTCGGCGGTACTGATTGGGCAGTGTGGAAGGGCGTAGCTTTTGAAAGCCAAAAAAACACCCCAAAACAAAAAAAAAACCAAAACAGATTAAAAGCAGATTTACTTTCCCACTGGGTAATGAGCAGTTTTCCGTGGCTGATGTAGATGCACTGCCCCATAGCTGTGCGTTACCCTTGGCAGAAACGCTGGCGTTATCATGGCAAGTCTGTGAAAAATGGCTGTACCCTCTGAGAAACACTCCTTCCCAGTGAGCTGAGATACTGAAACAAGGACGGGTATTTGTGCTGCATTAAATGCTTCATTACAAAAAGAAAAAAAGTTGTATAACAAAAAATGATTTTTGGATAGTCTATGTGCAAACCCGTACTTCTAGGGCTAGATCACCCTGTTCATTTTCAGTAGAGAACAAGGTAAGTTGGGAGTAAAACTTCACCGTTCAACATGAACCAGATACTTGGATGGGTTTTTCTTTTTTAATATTGTGCATGTCTTTTACAGGGTAAACTTTTTGACTCTACAGTAACTGATGAAGGAACGTGGACATTAGGTAATAACCTACATTTGAAATGACAGTGTGAGGACAGTAGAACTTCTCAAAATGTGCTGCAAAAAAGTTTACTCCCTTTAATAGGAAATATTACTTTGTTCCCTGTACATAGCTTTGTAAAAAAGACAATCATTATTGCCAGGTAAAGGAACTGAGGTAGTACAAAAGCCCTGGAGGTTAAGATTAATAGAAGAAAAATGCTCTCCCTTGGAAGGCAGCAGTCGATAGATTACAGACACTTCCATACAGCGAGAAGATTTTTGCAAACCCTCAGTAAAGCTAGGCTGTTGCAGTACTGTTATGTGGTCTCTGCCTCTCCATAATTGTTACTTTTCTTGGTTTGTTCTCCTTCCCTTATGGATTATATTTTTGGGATGTGTGACAAAACCTACAGTCCAAGGGCACCAAAAAGCAATCTAACAATCACACTAACATGCCTGCAGATAATGATCAAAAAAAGCTCTGATCACTGCATCGTAAATATTGTGAAGTCTTCAGAATATCATGTGTTTAGCAATCATATTTGTGGACTTTGCCTCTCACTTGTTTTCCTATGACAAATTTTGTTTTTCATTCAATATTTATTCTAAGTGTTGATGAATAATATAGTAACTTAAACATGAAAATTAGAAGTGTTAACAAATATTGTGAGTCCTATTCTTGTTCATTAAGTGAACACACTATTATGCTGTATTTATTCAGTTAAGTAGAACTAAATATCCTACATGTTAATGTTGAAATGTACTTCCAAGATATTGTCTGCAGGCATATGGTCTATTTTTAAAGACATTGATTATACCTCCATACATCACTAAAACTTAGTTCCGGCTTTTATTGCTCTGTAAAGCCTCACCTCAAGTTCTTCATTCTTGCCTTAGCTGAGCTGTATTTAATAATAAGACATTGATTGACTAAATGTTTTCTCTGTTGTGAACCTTTCTAAAAGGTTAGTTTCTGTTTGCAACAGAGGTACTTACAAACTGTGTTTTAACTCCTTAAAAAAGCTTCAGCATTTTATTGTCCAGAAAGGTGAGAGATGGCCTTACAGGCTCTCATTGCTTCAGGTGTCTATTTTGAGTTAATATTTATTTATCTATCAATAACCCTGTTGGTATGAAGAATTTGAATTAGTTCACCAAAAACATCCTGTGCTTGTTAATGCTGAATTCGCCAAAGCAACAGCAAAGACCAGCCCCTAGGGCTGGCCCGGACGGTCGTTTTAGGTGTGTTTTCACTCCACAGAAGACAGGAAGCTGATACGAATTGTTTTAATGAAAACAAATCGAGATGCTGGAAACTGTTGGACATCTCTGTTAGAAAATGAGTATGCTGCTGATCCTTGGGTACAGGACCAGATGCAAAGGAAGCTGACACTGGAGCGATTCCAAAGAGAGGCAAGTTAAAGATCCAAAACTGCTGCTTGTATTTTGTGTGCACACGGGTCATGGCCACGAACGCAGGGCAAAATTCTTCTGCTGTCCAGTGCCGTGGAAATATATACTGTAGTTCAGTATGTATAGGATGCTCATGAGGCTTTATCAGCGTACTTCCAAGAGGTTATTCTCTCTGTAGCCTGTCTGAAGGTTTTGTGACAAATGAAGATGAGCTTGGGGCAGGGATTGCTGTTTTGGGGATTATTGCACAATACTCACAACTTTTCACGTAATAATAACAGAAATTGTGTGTGGCGTAACTTTAGAATTATGACATAGCCCTATTTACAACAGACTTCTAACACCCAGCTCTATGGATTGTGTTTGTTTACGACATCAGATGATGTAGACTAGCTACCTGGAAAATGAGTTCCTTGCCTTTTTATTAAAATTGCTCAGTTTGTTTTGGTACGCCTTTAGCACACAACTATTCCTAGGTACATCTGTAGAATTACATCATATTATTAACAGCTTAATCAGCACACTACATAGTGCAACAAATAATTTTTATCAAACTTGTTATCCAGCATGGCAGGTAGTTATATTTTAAAGCAGTAATTTCAAGGGACACCAGAAGATACAATTTTTTCTTTACGTTTCCTTATTATTTCTATACTGAGAGATGTAGGGGCTTGCCAAATTGAGAACAGCATTACTAAGTCACTTGAGCAGCAGACAACCATACACTGGCAATTCGAAGTTTATTTGTTGATGCATTTTCCAAATATTTCAGTGCCCTGACAAACGGATGACAAGTTGATTGTTTTACATCCTTACAGTTTAGGGCTTTTTTTATTTTTTTTTTTTTTTGGGGGGGGGGTGGGAATTGTAGTTTTTTTTTTTTAATTATTTTAATTTTGTTACAAATTATCTATCCTTTAAACTTCTCTCTTACCTCTATCAGAACCCTGGATTTGACTTCAGTGGAGCAGAAATTTCTGGAAATTACAGCAAAGGAGGTCCAGACTTTTCTAGTCTTGAAAAGTAAACTGTTTATATCCCTCTTCCTTGGAAGGAATTATACATTATGCTTAAGGACTGGAATTGTGTAGCTGGTGAAGTCTTCAGTGATGTCTTCAACAGATTGTCATCAAGTAATTATTTCAATGAAGAGAAAGCAGATCTCTCCCGGCAGAATGAAGAGAAGGTGTTACCAGCTAATTTATAAGCTGTGATAAATTTATAATTCCAACCAACAAACTACAGAGAAAGGTGTACACAAAAAAATTAATATCTTAAAGCAGCATTGGTTTGGTGTTTTTTGTTTTTTTAAACCCCATAGTAAACTAGTCAGTTAAAAATATGACTTTTCTTCATGCAAGAGTAGCTTGTTCACCATTCAAGAATAGATGTAAGACATTTATTTTCTCTTGCAATGAAAAGGATATTAGGAAGGCTAGTTACACCTTCTCTATAGCAACCCTCTGAGAACTCATAACTCATTCTAAAAAAGTAATTTAGACTACTGCATCTTGCCTTAAATAAGGGTTTTACAGTCTACTGTGCTGTGAAACAGCACTACTTATTAATACTTGCCACCAGGTACATGGTACTAGAGAACTGAAAGGTCAGGTGGAAGTCTGAATATAACTAATTTTATATGTTAATGTAATACAGCCTTTCAGTAAAAAAATTTAAGACTTTGAAAGTAAGAGAATATAGTGATTTTTGCAAGGAATACAAAGTCCCCAAGTAGGAAACGGTATCTTATATCTGTCCATTACTAACACACATTTTGTTGATGGTTTATCTAAGAAGCTGTAGGTAAGTTTTGTAGATAACTTTTAAATTTAACAGCCACTTTTTAAACTTAGGTATTGCATGATATAATATTCTGCATGTGCCAATCAGATGTCAGGATTTTTCTACTCAGTGTTAAAGATGCAGGTGAGAAACATGACAAAGGCTGTGTCAGACTAACAGAAGAAGAAAACATGATTGCCTAATCCTGTTGTACTCTGGACACTCAAACTACTGCCTATACTTATGTCCCAGGCTGACATCTCACTGGAGATAGTGCCACCAGCTCTCCATCGTACTGATGAGCCTCATTTCCAAAAGTGCATCATTATTTCAGTTGCCATATGGCAAAAATAAAGCAGTAATTGAGGAAGAATGCTTTCATTATCATTAGACCCACTGCTTTGTTGTTGTATGAGCAAGAAAGCATTAACAATCCTGAACTAATCAGGATTTCTCCTACCCATGTCACCTGCACAGAACCTAAGTCCATAGATAGTGCATGAGTTGTAGAGATCTTGTCTTACTCTACAAAGCAGCATGGTATTCAAATGCTGATTTATAGCTATGAATTTTTATATCTTTACCATGATCCTAGGAGAAGGTGGATAATGCAGTTAAATCAACAAGAATGCTGGGAAAATTAAGTGAAGACAGGAGGATGACAGAAAATAGGTCATGTTCCATCAAAATGCTGAATTACTGTCCTGTAAAACTTTTGGTTTTTGTTACAATACTGTTTTGCATAGGAGATTCTTTTATGTCTTTTGCTTATAGCAGAGGTTTAGAATGGCATCTGACAATCCTCTGACAGGCCTTACTGGGATTCAATCCCGTGTTTCAGAGTAACAGGCATTGGTCAGCCGGATACATCTGCCCATGTGATACAGTATCCAGACCGACCCCCCCTACAGGAAACAACTGTGCATGCTCCTTCGGAATGCTACTCTGCTGTGTAAATGAGTGAAGGACAGCCTACTGGCATTTTTTCATGAATCTGGGTAAAGATAAACTCAAGAGTAATGCTACAGCATTGCTTTCTTTATCAAAAGGCTCATAGCTGTTCCAAGTCAGGGACGGCAATGCACAGCTAAACTTAAACCTAGTCAAATTGAGCAGTGCAAAAACTCAAATTGGGCTGTTAGGAATTTGAGTGCATATTAGGAATTTGCTTGCTCCTAAGCAAACACCATCCATTATTTCATGCCATGCATAGAAACAGGTGACATGGACTATTAGAAAAATAATGGAAGAAGGGTCAAATGCAGTTTGAACAATCTTAAGCCTCCCTAAGTCAGTCTTGACACTCCCATGTCTCAAAAGGATTTAGAATAATTGTGGGCCAAGCTGAAATAATTTTTATCAAGCACCTTTTTTGCTGTTGGTTCTCTAACCTTTCCCATGCAGCCTTTACCCCTTAAAATAAATAAATAAAAATTTTAAATCTCCATAACCTCTTACCCCTTGCCTGGAAGATTTCCAAGTGCTGTTCAGATACATGGAACTTCATAGGCTTCCTACTACGATGTTTTATAACAACCAGGAAAAAAAGTTACTAATTTAAGCACTTTTCAATGTTTAATTGAAAGGTACATACCTTAATATTGAGACATGAGAATAAGAATTGCACATTGCATCTTGTCCATCTCTCCCAGTAGGCTGACCACACCTCTGCCTGAATCACTTATATGGTTTTCAGAGGCCAGCACAATGCACAGGTAGCACTGGCAGATGTGAAACCAAGTCACAGGCTCTGCGTCACTGCTCCCATGAGTTCGTGACAAGGCTCCACTTGTCCATATACAGCTTTGGTACAGAGCCTGTCACAATTTTAACTAGTTTGAGATATGCAAAGAATGGTTTCCCCCTCAGCTTTCACCACAGAGGGGAAAGGGTTGGTTGGCTAACATGTAAGCCTACACTATATTCAAACATTCTGATCTCCCCTTCTCCAGTAAGTCAGTTCCTATGGCGGTCAGTTCTTAAAAACCTATCGCTAACACCCTCTGCTTCCCTGTGGGGCAGAACTGAAGAGGTCATTAGTAACGTTTCCCCAACACCTCTATTCATCTTACATACAATAATACTTTCTTATTATTCACTTCCCTGTTAGCACCAGCAGCCTGATATGCCTAAAGTACTGATCTGGTCTTCAGAAAAAATGGTTGTATTTTTTGAAGCCTACCATTAAAGACATGAGTTGAAGCAATCTTCAGTATTTCTCAAACAGGTTTCTCCTACATAGAGGCCAAGGAGAGGCTTTAGCCCTGCTCCTACTGTGCCTGTAAAAATGCACCTATTCAGCATCAGCATTTACCTGTAAAAACGCACCTATTCAGCATCAGCATTTACCAGTGAAACTGGAGAAAACTGATGTCACATTTGGGGCACATGACCTAGTGCTTTCCCTCAGCTTTAAGTATCATGAAGGTTTTACACTCTGTGAAATTCATTATCTTGGTCAACTACACCTCTTACAAGGGATTGAAGCTACTGCTGCTGTGCAAGTGACAATCTTTTTTAAGGCAGTAAAAGAATGTTTCTCTTCTCCCCTGCTCTAGCTCCTTGTCAGTTTCACATAGCTTGTTTTTATTGTGTCCATGGCAGGTCAGCCCTGTCCAGCAGGAACCTCTGGACACATGACACTGCCCAAAAGCATGTCAGGTAGACTGACAGGCTTTTGCTATTGTCATTGATCCTGAGTGGGATGAGACTTGAGTTTGACTGAGACACTGCAGCACTGTGCTACTGTATGTGATGTTTTCCTCGTCTCTGGTAATAATTAGAAAGTGAACCAGATTTTAAAAATTAAATACGTAAACCAGCACCTGCAGTTCCAGTGGAACCGAGGTTAGACCACGCAAGCTGCTCTACAAACCATAGGGTGTTCAAACTCCTCTTATCAGTGTGGAATTTCACCCAACAGTAAACAGTCTAACAAATCAGACTGAAAACTGACACTGAATATTGTTGTAATCATCATGAAAAGAACACATTTGCAAAAAGAATAGCTTGTCATGTAACATATTCTTTCCATGGGCTGAGTTCTTCATTATAAAGGTCCTGTTTCAGATTTCATTTCTCAAACATTCCTATGTCTGTTGACAAGGTCACAGGATAGTTCTCTCCTCATTTTATTGTATTCTGTAAAATAAAATATCGGTTAACTGAAGGGCTTTCTACAAGAGCCAGTCAAAGCACCCAAATTCAATGTAACAAGACAACAGCAAGACAGCCATTATAGAAAGTATGTAGTCTTTGGAATTGAACTCTAGATAAGGAAGTATAGTTTAGACAATTTCTACAGAGTAAAACAAATTCAAGTAATATGAATAACTGAAAGGTTTTTTTTTTTTAAAAATTTTACTTAAGACAGTTATACAAGTAAAACTGTATAAAACTGTCTTCTATTTAAGTCAACAATCACAAGAATCTCACTCAAATAGGCAAGCTTCCTCTTTGCTGATTTTTTTTAGGGGAGAAGCAAAGTTTTTTTTGTCCACCTTGTTACCAGTTTTACTCCACATTTTTGTTTGTATGAGGTCCCAGTGTCTGTAGAACACATTTCTGCTCCCACAGCACACCAGCAGACCAGTTCTTTCTCCAATATTAATATACTATGTTACCACGCCTTTAGGTACAGCACTGGCTCAAGCATGAACAGAGAACAGGCCAGCCTGTACAACAGCTCTACTATGTTTATGCTACATGTTTTCAAAAGGTTACATATATGGAATAAGAAACTTTGAGAGTTAACAGCTAATTACTTCTACATTATCAGAAGCTGATTTTACAAGGAGTTACCTATTATGAGCTTGTCTCTGGAATGGTAGGAAGGTGTGTTATCCTGTAGTAGCTGTGTTTAAGCTGCCGTGCTGTACGTCCAGACACAATCCATTTCAGTTTCTGGACATTTGGTTTAGAACACTTGCTTGAAGAATATTCTGTAAGGCACTTAAATACCAGTTCCTTCCAGAAGGTCAAATCTCTGTTGCTTATCTAAATAGCAAGACAGAATCTCATGTTAAGAACTCATTAAATCCACATGTCCTTTCTGCTTCTTCACTTACGAAGGGAAGCCAAAGATTCCCAGCCAAACAGGAAAAAAAATAAACAAACCAACAACAAAGCCACAGAAGAAACCAGTATGCCAACAGACCTGTCCCTTCCCCACTGTGTAGGCCCTTGCATGCATTTTTACTGCTTCCTCCTCTGAAATTTTTTCTATGCATACCTTGGAATGCAACTGCAGGAATTCCAATGCCTCTGTCAACTCCAGCAGCTTTTGCTCTTCTATCTCTAGTGCCATAATAGACAGCGCCAAGACAGAAGGCTGGAGAGGAAAAAAAAAAAGTTTTAACATTGCTTCATTAAGTTTCAGTAGTCTTATTATCTTTGAGCTATAGAAACATTTACCTTGGCTTTAGAAAACATGATTCTGCAGTGACATGCCTTAAGCTGGGTCTCAAGTCTCTCAAAATTAAGGTATTTTTTCCTAGAATACAAACAGATGAGTGAATGTAGAAGAACACAAGCATTCTTGGTCATGGCCACACCACCCTAGGAACTCAGAGAAGCAGCAAGAATGTTCCTTATATAAACAAAGGCCTCAATTGTCCCAGAAGTTCTAGGCTTACAATCAAACAGGTGTTCAGTTTTAGCAATCTTAATGCAAAAAATAAATCTTGTGCTACACTAGGGAGCATTGAATTGTCAAAAGAGGCTTACCGAAAAGGAATTTTAGTGCTTGCTAGCAAAAGGAATCTCCTTCTATGCCAGATTTTGAAATCTGTGCAATGAAGCAATACTTAATGCAGCATCAGCAGAGATTTTACCATCATTATTGAGCAAGCTTCATTTTCAGCTCAGAGAACAATATTCTTTAGATCAATTTATGCAAACAACTTTTAAACTTAAAATATCATCAAACCGCACACACACACTTATTATATTTACCAATAAGAAATAACATTTGTCTTTTTTAGGTATGCTAGGTATGTAAAGGCAAATGACTCCAGTAATTTCCCTGCTTTCTTTTCTACATAGGCTTCTTGATCATATGCAAACATAGAAAAATAAATATCTTTTACCTTTCACAGCTTAAATTTTCATGAATAAGTGAATGATATAGTTGTAGAAATTGAAAGGCTGTTGTAGCTTTGACTTTTGAGCACAGCTTCTCCAACACAATTTTCTCCATTCTCATCATATCAGAAACAGTGAACCTATACTGGCTTATTCGAATCAGGTCAGTGGCTAAGGGAACATTTCTCTCTTCTTCTAATACCTTTACAGCCAAGTAGAAGCAGCTGAGTCCAACACAGCCCAAGTGTTTAGGCTGGACCTGAAGAAAAGGAAATTGTCGTTACTGTCAGAGAGGAAGGCCTTCGACGAGCCACTTCAACACCTAAGTACCCAACTATGTAGCCACCAAGGTATTTTAAGAAAAAATTATCTGGGGTGGAGGGAGCGGTTCCCCTTTTTTATGATGGAGAAATAAGTCTTTTATCCACTTACATTCTTATCTGTATTAAACTAAATGAGAAGACTGTTAATACATTACAAATTCTGCCTCATCAGAAAAGTAAGATTGCAGAATAATGTATTTGATTGAGGTGAAACTGGTTTCTTACAAGGTCCTATAATAGCCTAATTGGAAGCTTTTAAGACTTAAAAGTGTTGTACGTATTAGCTTATACAAAAAATAATTGGGAGGCTTTTACTCTTTTTTATATATACACATGCACATATGTTTATATATTTGTGCAAATATATATAAACTGACTGATTTTATTCCATAGACATTACAGTCCCCACTTTTACTACTTATTTTGGACTGAGAAGTCTTTCAGATCATCATTTTCTTATCCACTCCATCTAGTTTTATCATTTTTGTTTGAGCACACAAGAAAAACAACCTTTTGTCCTTGACCAAATAGTACAGTGGTAATCCTGGCTCATAACACAATTAAAAACAACCCAGGTCAGCAGGCCACATATGCACAGTGGAAAGGAGTGCTAACTAAATGTTTTACCTGATCTGAAGTGCTGAACAGCATCAAGCCTCTTGATATACATGAGATTTACAAGGAGGGTGAAACAGCAGTAAGATAGGAAGTAACTTAAGGTGTTCTTGTATACATACAACAGGCAAGACAACCTTTCTTGATCTAACCCATTAACGTTGCTTGCATTTCCAAGCCTAGAGGCATCCCCAAGTTGACACTGATGCCCTCTTACTTCTCTTCTCTAGAAGAAACACTTTTACTCAACAATACTGAAGTCTCAAGCAGGAAGGCCTTTTTTTAGCTCCTGCACTATCAAAATCTCTAGGAGCTTTATTTTCAGCCATCTGAAACCAAGATGTTATAACTTATAGTGGGAGTAAGGCTGCAACCAGCAAATACCAACAACTGAGAACTTATATTTTAAAAAGCCTTACCTTCATTTTTGACAAGAATCTATCCAAGAAATTCACAGCTAGAGAAAACGTCTCTGTATGGAAGCCAAAGAACTGAGTTAAACTGAGAAGATCTTTCACTTCAAAGTCTCGCAGTCTCGCAGTCATTCGGAGGCCATTGTCATGAGCTGATTCAATTAGTCTCAGGCCAGAAGCCTTTGGCTGACATCGTAACTCCTGTTCCAACAGGACTGCGAGCTGGTACAGCAGTTCCTGAGCTTCACTGGTTACAAGCGTTTCAATCATCTGTAATGCGAAACAAATGTAAGCGTATCAGGCAGCTACAAGGGGAAAGGCTCCCGGCTGTCTCCAGAGCCCAGAGAGACACTCTTCCCTTAGGCACACACACTGCTCCTGCAGAGTCTCAGCACTTTTACCAACTAACAACAGGCAGGGCACGCTCGGCCCTGCAGCAGCAGCGCTCGGCCCCGGCCCGCAGCGCAGCACAGGCACAGAGCGAGGGGGCCCGGCCCGG